CCAGCAGGCGCACGACTTGTTCGTCCCCTCACTTGGTATTATAAAAAAACTCAAACAGTACATAACCATCGAGTATATAACCTATACTCGATGTACGTAACTAACACGAAATCTTCCGTCCTTTACTTACTGGTGACGTAAGAAACAAATGTAACAAACTTAAACAGATCTCACTTGCGTTCGCGAATAACACAATTATTACCTAAGACTAATTCTAAGTACTTATTACAAAGTGTCAAAGTAATTGAGATAAGTTGTGTAAATTATATATATAGCAACCGGAGTGCAATTTATAAAAGGTACAATGTTTCATATCGAGTTCTTAGGTTTTCGCGATTGTTATACATAGGAGTTGAAACCATTTTTCCGGATTTAAATCGCGTGTATTTGTTTTTTCAAACAAAGCGACGTTTCGTCAACCGTGACCATGAGACCTGTAAAGGGCCCGAAAATCGGTTTGTTTGAAAAAACAAATATACGCGATTTAAATCCGGAAAAATAGTTTCATTTCGAGTTCTTAGGTTCTTAGGTTAGTTTCATTTCCTACAATGTTTCATTTTGTTTCAAATCTCTACTAGGTACAGACAGTTTCGTTTCACAATGATAATAGACTGAAGAGCACTATGTAAACGTGACTTTTGAGCTGCGTGTCTATCATCCGATGATTGCAGCCAGTCGTTACCTTTCCCGAGTGGCGAGTGGAGAGTGGCGTACGCCGGTTATCGTGCCATCGACACGATCGTAAACAATATCTTTTGATCATCGCTTAAATCGATAACAAATTATATGCATCGCTTTTGCATGAACACTAAACGGTAATTCCATGACACTCGCATGTGTGCAGCCAATAAGTAACACTAACGTTATCACTCGTCATTGGCTCTGCAACAGCGATCGCGATGGTACCACGCACCATCGGCGCCCGCGCAGGCTGGCCGCACCGGCCGGCAGCCGGCAACAAATTGCCGGTGGCTTTTTCAACACGGTAATGGCGTGCAATGAGATGCAAATGCGATAACTGTAGCCTGTACGAGACTTAAAAACTGTACTTGCAGTCGCCAAGTCATAAAGTGAACGCGTTACAACTCATTAGGTTTCATTATACAATTAGTGTACGATGAAGAACCAGCGACTGATTTAAACTTGTTTGTTATTAACATTTTAATAAGTTTCTTTTGAATAACGGCTTCGTATAAAATAGAAGTCGGGGTCTTCGTAACTAAACTTGCGTAATTTTTAAGTTTTTATTGCATGTTACGATGTTTGACCACTGTGATATTCAATTATTTTTTATGTGAATTCACTCCACTAGTTTGTTATAATTGTTAATACAAAGATCGAACGCTAAATAAATTCCTTCGATGCGGCTACATTCGAACCAGTTGCTTCCACCAAACCGTGCCGCCAGACGCTATGCTAACTAAGCCACGGAGCGACTCAGCGAACCTCACGAATTTTTCTATTGCTTGTTGCAGATTTTAGTAAGACTTTTGACCGTTAACGTTACGTGAAGTAAAGGCGTTAAAAACCAAAAATGAAGATCTGCAACAAGCATATAGAAAAATTCGTTCCAGTGGCTAAGTTGATATAGCGTCTGGCACGTTTGCCAGAAGACGCTGGTTCGAATCCAGCCGGATCGAAGTAATTTATTTTAAGTGTTCGATAGTTGTATTAATAATTATAACAAACCAGTGGAGTAAATTCGCGAACAACAAACTTAAGTATTTTGAACAACTGAAACGTTTGCGATGTGGTGATAAGTACTTGTATAAAAAACACTTTATGCGCTTAACGGTAACTACAACTTTATGCATCCAACGGTTTTCTTTACAGTTAAACAGCTCGAAAAAAGTCATTAAATAGCATATGTAGGATGTTTTTTGCTTTACACGTTTAATTATTATGTGAAACAAGTTATGCCCAAAATGTCCACGAAAAACATTTCTTCCCAAAAATTGTTATTTGGTTGTAGCCCGACGTCTGCGGCTGCGGCAGTTGCGCGAGCGCACGAGACGCGAGGCAAGCATCCGTGGAGTAGAAACGGTAGAAAGCGCGCGCGCACAATGGTGGCGGTTTTTTACGCGAATACCTGCGCGCGCGCAGCGCATTGCGATCGACGTGATCGATGCGGTCACTCGGTGTTTGACAAATGCATTTAACAGTAACATTTGTTTCAATTACTCAATTTGTTTTTTTAGTGTTTTATTTAGCGTTCAAGAGTTAAAGTTTTACTGGTAATTTATTTTCATCGGACTTCAGTAAACTGTGGTGGACAGGCGTGTCGCTTACCACCAGGCGCAAGACTTGGATGTCACGGCACTCGGTGTCATAAAAAAATTAACGTCTTAAAAACAATGAAATTATGAAGATATTTATTTTCTTTGATAATTATTATGAAAAATATCAGATAATTAACCATGCTAATTCCATCCCTTTCATTTGGGACTTACGATGACAAACAGTGACAAAACTAAATAAATATGAAGAAAAATCGTTTAGGACTTTGTTTGAGACTGACATTTAACACGTTTGGATAAGTCTCCAACACAAACTCATGGCACGACATTGCTAGGAAATAATTTATATATATATATATAATTATGGTCATTTATCACTTCAAACCCTGCTTAAAAACTAAAGTCTGTTTTGTAAGTTGTGGTAAGCCCATGACGACTTAAACGACACTACGTTTGTGAAATCGCATTTGCATTGACGGCAACGCTCCTGAATAATAAAAACTAAGGAACTCTAGGATTGAACATCCAAATCGATTATATTCAATCATATACACCGACTTAGAATCAATTACGTGGGTAAACAACACTCCACGTAGTGGCACTATCTTGTGAACATTATAAACCAATTGAATAAAATTAATAGCGACAAAAAAACGTGTGTTCATGGGAACCGTGTTCGCGACCGCGCGGCTCCGGCGAGCGTGACTCGCTAATGGCGTCTTATCTAACGCTCGGTGTACTGAAATTGCCATCCGCGATTGTATCACTCGCGATCATAATATCAAAGTTATTGCTTATTAATTGTGCTCCTCGTTAAGTGAAAGCTCTTCATGATGGCTTTTTGAAACACATTGTAGTTAAACTTATTGGCGTAGCAGTGCTGTGGGACAATAACAATGACACTGCCTTCGGGAAAAAGCTCGTGCCCAAAACTCGGAGGTAAATGAATTGAGATTTCTAGGTTTTTCTGATAAAAAGAACACTTAAAATATATAGTTTTGATATTAAGTAGTTTATTTACGTTATTTCTTTTTATAAGTGCACAATTATAATTAGTTGTACCTGTTTTGTATTATTTATGAAGTAATTATTGTAATTGAACCGCATAATAAAGTCACAGTTTCGTGCATTACTAAGTGAAATCCTCTCGTATTATTATCTTGAGAAACGTCAAAAACTATTTACGTACTTATTTATTAACATCAGTTGTATTTTTTGAACAATTTCTACAAATAATTATATTATTTATGTACATAACTCAATTTTTACAACTGCTGGATTGCCACGCAGAGATAATATTTGTATGGCCTACATTTATTTCTCTCGTGAGTTTAGGTGTAATATGTGGTTGTCTATGTGTGTGCCCATGGTACCCGCGATACAGGGTTTCCCGGTACTTTATCCCTTGATTATGCCATTGTTGAGGACTGCTTTTTGAATTTAAAAATTTTAATTTTTTTCTTTAAGTCATGGAAGAGGCCAAAATTAATTGTTTATTTTAGTCTATACAAGTTGCTTATAAAAAACCAAATAACATATTTAATTTAAATCAAATATATTTTTGGAGATATAGCATCAAGCCATTGTGACTGTGTTCAAGTTTCCCAGCTCATTGGAGACTTTGAAAGTTTTCCGATAGTTCTGTACCAACTATGATCGCCTTCGCCGTCTAACGGTTGAATTTATGTTTTCAATATTCTAGAGAAATCAAATTGTACGATCCGCTACGTAACAAAATATACGAATTGGCTTACATAAGAGACAGGAAGTTTCCTCGCTAAAGTAGTAGACAACGCTAACGAAGCATAAAACAAGAGCGCATAAGAGATACTTCTTCCTCCTCGAGAACAAGAGGTCATGACCTCGCATACTCGCTAGGACGACCTCTATGCAAATATATGGAATTCATAACATCGCTAAGGGAGATGTAAACTTTTCGGTGTGAGGTTAATGAACTGATTGAATAGCAGCTGTTTCAGATTTCGTATTAATTATCGCATGCGAATGCGGAACGTGTAGTAAAAGGAGAGCAGTTTAAGTTTTCAGTAAAACTAAGACGTTAGTATCAACGGTAAGATGCGTGTAGGGCAGTGTGGGGTATCACATCGTGTAACATCGGCGCAGGCATTTTGCCGGGACAATGCGTGCGCGCAAAGAGAACATGTCAGTTTATTAGGGCAGAAGGTGTAGCGGCAAGAAAACTGTTAGTCGTGTTTAGATAAATAATTAGATGCCTACCATGTTATCGTATACTACTCGTATAGTAAATGGCTGTTTTAAAATAAGTTTTGAATTTTGCATTGTACTCATAAATTTTCGAAATTTATGTATGATGTACTTTGATTTCGTCTGATGTTAAGGGACTATATACACTACTAGTAAAAAAGGAGTTTTTGTAATCTAGTTTAATGTGTAGGGAACGTAGGCCCAAAAGTTTTCGTTATTTTGTCGTGGTAGAAAGAAATTCTCCGGTAGCCTAGCGTTAGAGCCAAAGCTAAAAAATCCATGGCACAATATTGCCGCCAACGGTGCGGTTCGATGTCCGACTGAAGTAATTGCACGACATAATTGCCTCCGCGAGGAAGCGCAACGGCCCATCACTACTCATTACGTGTACGCAGGAGTCGAATTGCCGTCCTCGCTTTGGTCCCGCTGTTTCCTGCAACCGCGGGGCAACCCGCTTTCACTGCGGACACGTCGTTCGCCGTCGCCGGGTCGCGTGGTTCCACTTCGGTCGCGGCGAGCGAACGCCACTAGAGAGACGCGGTGGCGAGTGGCGATGGCGGGCACGTACCTTGCTTGACGGAGACGAACTTGTCGTTGAGCGCGGCCACGAAGGCGGCCTGCGGCAGCGAGTCCTCCAGCGAGAACAGCTCGTCGCGCGTGACGGCGGCCGAGCGCGTCTTCAGCACGGCCTTGGAGCCGATGGGCGCCAGGTACTGGCCCGCGCCGTCGCGCAGCGCCAGCGCGCCCGCGTGGTACTCGGCGCTGAACAGGCACGCCGCCGAGCACGCCTCCAGCAGCTGCCGGCCGCCGAAACACAATCAATACACAAATATAGCTCTTGTCGCGCCTGCGAGTGTTCTCGATCAGCAAATAATTACAAAGTTTCCAAGTCGCGAGTGATTTGTCGACGCACGTCGGACAAAAAGGTCCTCTCGTTGCGATTGAAACGATGGGAACGAGAGCAATAATGGCTTGTTAACATTCTCTGAATACGCGCGTCGTGTTCCAGTATTGTGAGACAAGAAACGTGATTAATTGATGAATGCTAATACGAGAAACCTTTCACAATGTCGATGCTTACACTTAACTATTGTTTACGACTAAATCCACAATAACTGTGACGAAATTCTTTTAATCTTTTATCTCGGTGTTATCAAGCCAGATAAAAAAGTCAACCAAATTTGTCACCGCATTCCTGCGTTTCCTATCCGCACGTCTGCCGACCTTCACGCTGGTGTTCTCACGCGTCGCGAATCGCGCGGCGGATCCGGACGCCATTGTTTGCTAAACACCACTCTATATAATCAACTATATTGTATTATAGTCGGCGACACCCGTGACACGACGCGGCTGACATAATAAACAGACCATCCTATATGTTGTCACTGTAAACATCTCTGTTAGAAATATTGAGAGCAAACTGTGACCGCTAAATATTGTATTTGAATAACTGACCAAGAGTTAACGCCCAACTGTTGTTAACGCGAGCGCTGTGGAAATTCCCTCAAAATGTCGTATACATATATATATTCAACTTTCGCTATTTGGGACATGCTATAATATTTAATTATAATATTGTATTAATTGTCAAAACCAAAGAAATGAGAGTTCGTTATTACTTTCGCTTATATTGTAATACGAAATGTTGCGAATTAACACTTGGTATAACACACCTGGTAACCCTTTGGTATTTATTATAATACAACGATCAAACAAAATATAATAAATAAAAATCGCACTGTCCGAAAGGTAGGTCCCAACAAAACCGCTAACGCTTAGGCAAATAAAAAAACTAAAAAATAAATAAATTTCAGATTGATTTACCCTATTTGGCCAGTTTTAAAAATGAACTGCGCAGATTTAGTTTATTCCACTCGGTTGATAATTGTTTTCAAATACAAAGCTGTATTGCATTATATTTGACTTGTACTTAATATATTGGATTATATTTGAATGCTCTTATTTGAAACCGAATAAAACCGTCCAATTTAATTGTACCACTAACATTCGTAACGTAACGTACCCACCATGTCCCTATTACCACCAAGCGCAAGTGCCCGTCGGAGCTGCCTCACCTTTCCTCCAGCGCTGAGGTATTTGTTGTTGCAGGTGTGCAGCGCGTACTTGCCGCCCTCGTCGGCGCGGAACTCCAACGTGAACAGGGTGTCCTCGCCCCAGGGCACGTTGGCGTCCACGTGGATCTCGTCCAGCGACTCCGACAGGTGCGCGAAGCGCTTGCGACCGATTGACCGCAGATTCACCTAACAACAAACAATTTACGATTTATTGTGGTTTCTATTCAATTTCAATTCAATATAATCTTTGATCCATTATAGATAAATAAAATCTTAAAACTAACTAGTCACCAAGTCACAAGTCACCAGCCCATAATAAACACATACGAATATTACGTATCCCAAAAATAAGTTGGTATCTAACATCAAATTCAGATTATATTTAAATACTGTTTTTTACACAAAAACAAATATAAGAATCAACAAAAGCCAGGACGCCACAAGCGCCCTTGTTGCTAGACAGTAATCTACCTTCGTATTTATAAATGATTTTGGTTTCGTCTTGTCTTCTAAGAGAATCACTGAGGTTTAATTATGAGGGTATTCTTGTTATTACTAGAAAGGCATTGTCCCCGCGCACACACGTACACGAAGGCATTATTAGTTGGCACTCTAAACATTAAGTACAAATAAATGCCTCTAGACCATTGTATTCTAATGTGATCGATAATAAAGAACGCATTACAAAGATTACAAGGCACGATAGAGCGTTATAAGCGAGTACGATGCAATCAAAAGCTTCGATAAAGTCACTTTCGCGTCCTATAAGGAACTTATAGCTCTGCGGGGGCGTAAAGTGGATGCAATGGCTCGCAATCTCATTACGACGCCGATACGACACGATTTCAATTTGCTATCTTGGAAAGACAAATCTGTGCCGTCATTCCTGGGTTGTTATCGGTGAAGTTTATAGTGGAGTAGAAAACACTTCTTTTCGAGTGTTCTGGTTTTGTATGGGCTGTTTTATTTAAGGATTGCCAGAAGTTTGGCAGCGTAATAGGAACAGATCAGAACGAGCACATAATAACAATGCCAATTACAGATCCTCACAAATAGAAATATAATAAGGAACCTTATGGCACAAATTAACTAACTTATTAGTTATCACATGAAAAGTCAACCGCAGTTGTAAGCCTCACTATGAGTCAAAGAAGTGCGTACTCAGAGCTCTGCTAGCGAAATGTATATCAAAAGTATTAGACACAGTATTAAAAGCATGCAGGCCACATACACTCGTTTTTCCGGTGAATTGTTTCTCAAAGACTTAAGAGTAACTAACGAAACAAAATCCAGGTCGCCAACACGGACTTCATACTTTTGTATCTCAACTGTCAAGGTTAATTATTTATCCTTGTCGGTGTCTTTAGGGTGACCGATGCATTCCGTTGATGAGGTTAACTTACTATCATTGACTTACTACCAGTCAATGCTTAACTCCTTCTTTCGTATTTCACTGTGGAGAGCCCACTCAAACTGGAGATAAAATCAGCCGTTCCATATGATATGCGTATATATATTTTTAAACTTAGTCTGATCTAGAACTGCTTCTACTGCTTGGGTAAATGTTATTGAATTTTTA